AACAACCTTGTAGCGTAAAATAATGACTAGTTATAGTTTACAGCAGAGACAACAACCTTGTAGCGTAAAATAATCACTATTTATTGTTCATAGCAGCGTCAACCACCTTGTAGAGTAGAAAAATATACTAGTTATAGTTCATAGCAGAGTCAACTACCTTTTTGTATAAAATAATCACTAGTTATAGTTCATAGCAGAGTCAACTACCTTTTTGTATAAAATAATCACTAGTTATAGTTCATAGCAGGGTCAACAACCTTGTAGCGTAAAATAATGACTAGTTATAGTTTACAGCAGAGTCAACAACCTTGTAGCGTATAATAATCACTATTTATAGTTCATAGCAGAGTCAACCCCCTTGTAGAGTAGAAAAATGTACTAGTTATAGTTGATAGCAGAGTCAACTACCTTTTTGTATAAAATAATCACTAGTTATAGTTACAGCAGAGTCAACAACCTTGTAGCGTAAAATAATCACTAGTTGTAGTTCACAGCAGAGTCAACCATCTTGTGACGTAAAATAATCACTAGTTATAGTTCACAGCAGAGTCAACAATCTTGTAGCGTAAAATAATATACTAGTTATAGTTGACAGCTGAGTCAACAACCTTGTAGCTTAAAATAATCACTGGTTGTAGTTCATAGCAGAGTGAACAACCCTGTAGCGTAAAATAATCACTAGTTATAGTTCATAGCAGGGTCAACAACCTTGTAGCGTAAAATAATGACTAGTTATAGTTTACAGCAGAGACAACAACCTTGTAGCGTAAAATAATCACTATTTATAGTTCATAGCAGGGTCAACCACCTTGTAGAGTAGAAAAATATACTACTTATAGTTCATAGCAGAGTCAACTACCTTTTTGTATAAAATAATCACTAGTTATAGTTCATAGCAGGGTCAACAACCTTGTAGCGTAAAATAATGACTAGTTATAGTTTACAGCAGAGACAACAACCTTGTAGCGTAAAATAATCACTATTTATAGTTCATAGCAGAGTCAACCACCTTGTAGAGTAGAAAAATGTACTAGTTATAGTTCATAGCAGAGTCAACTACCTTTTTGTATAAAATAATTATAGTTATAGTTCATAGCAGGGTCAACCACCTTATAGAGTAAAACTATTTACTAGTTATGGTTCACAGCAGAATCAACCACCTTGTAGCGTAAAATAATTACTAGTTATAGTTCACAGCAGAGTGAATAACCTTTTTGAATAAAATAATTACTAGTTGTAGTTCACAGCAGAGTATACAACCTTGTAGCGTTAAATAATCAGTAGTTGTAGTTCATAGCAGAGTCAAGTACCCTTTTGTATGTAATAATCACTAGTTATAGTTTATAGCAGGGTCAACAACATTGTAACGTAAAATAATCACTAGTTATAGTTTATAGCAGGGTCAACAACCTTGTAACGTAAAATAATCATTAGTTATAATTTACAGCAGAGTCAACGACATTGTAGAGTAACATAATATACTAGTTATTGTTCAAAGCAGAGTAAACAACCGTGTAGCGTTAAATAATCACTAGTTGTAGTTCATAGCAGAGTCAAGTACCTTTTTGTATGAAATAATCACTAGTTATAGTTTATAGCAGAGTCAACCATCTTGTGGCGGAAAATAATCACTAATTATAGTTCATAGCAGAGTCAACTACATTTTTGTATAAAATAATCATTAGTTATAGTTTATAACAGGGTCAACAACCTTGTAACGTAAAATAATCACTAGTTTTAGTTTACAGCAGAGTCAACAACATTGTAGAGTAAAATAATATACTAGTTATAGTTCAAAGCAGAGTGAACTACCTTTTCGCATAAAATAATCACTAGTTATAGATCCTAGCAGAGTCAACCATCTTGTGGCGTAAAATAATCACTAATTATAGTTCATAGCAGAGTCAACTACCTGTTTGTATAACATAATCACCAGTTATAGTTCATAGCAGGGTCAACAACATTGTAGCGTAAAATAATTACTTGTTATAGTTCACGGCAGAGTGAACAAACTTTTTGAATAAAATAATTCCTAGTTGTAGTTCACAGCAGAGTCAACAACCTTGTAGCGTAAAATAATCACTAGTTGTAGTTCACAGCAGAGTCAACCATCTTGTGACGTAAAATAATCACTAGTTATAGTTCACAGCAGAGTCAACAATCTTGTAGCGTAAAATAATATACTAGTTATAGTTGACAGCTGAGTCAACAACCTTGTAGCTTAAAATAATCACTGGTTGTAGTTCATAGCAGAGTGAACAACCCTGTAGCGTAAAATAATTACTAGTTATAGTTCATAGCAGAGTCAACTACCTTTTTGTATAAAATAATTATAGTTATAGTTCATAGCAGGGTCAACCACCTTATAGAGTAAAACTATTTACTTGTTATAGTTCACAGCAGAATCAACCACCTTGTAGTGTAAAATAATTACTAGTTATAGTTCACAGCAGAGTGAATAACCTTTTTGAATAAAATAATTACTAGTTGTAGTTCACAGCAGAGTAAACAACCTTGTAGCGTTAAATAATCAGTAGTTGTAGTTCATAGCAGAGTCAGCTACCTTTTTGTATAAAATAATCACTAGTTATAGTTTATAGCAGGGTCAACAACCTTGTAACGTAAAATAATCATTAGTTATAATTTACAGCAGAGTCAACGACATTGTAGAGTAACATAATATACTAGTTATAGTTCAAAGCAGAGTGAACTACCTTTTCGCATAAAATAATCACTAGTTATAGATCCTAGCAGAGTCAACCATCTTGTGGCGTAAAACAATCACTAATTATAGTTCATAGCAGAGTCAACTACCTGTTTGTATAACATAATAACTAGTTATAGTTCATAGCAGGGTCAACAACATTGTAGAGTAAAATAATTACTAGTTATAGTTCACGGCAGAGTGAACAAACTTTTTGTATAAAATAATAACTAGTTGTAATTCATAGCAGAGTCAACAACCTTGTAGCGTAAAATAATCATTTGTTGTAGTTCACAGCAGAGTCAACCATCTTGTGACGTAAAATAATCACTAGTTATAGTTCACAGCAGAGTCAACCATCTTGTAGCGTAAAATAATATACTAGTTATAGTTGACAGCTGAGTCAACAACCTTGTAGCTTAAAATAATCACTGGTTGTAGTTCATAGCAGAGTGAACAACCCTGTAGCGTAAAATAATCACTAGTTATAGTTCATATCAGAGTCAATTACCTTGTAGCGTAAAATAATCACTAGTTATAGTTCACAGCATAGTCAACAACATTGTAGCGTAAAACAATCGCTAGCTATAGTTCTTAGTAGAGTTAACCATTTTGTAGCGTAAAATAATATACTAGTTATAGTTCACAGCAGGGTCAACAACATTGTAGCGTAAAATAATTACTAGTTATAGTTCATAGCAGAGTCAACAAACTTGTAGCGTAACATAATCACTAGTGGTAGTTCACAGCAGAGTCAACAACCTTTTTGTATAAACTAATCATTAGTTATAGTTCATAGCAGAGTCAACCACCTTGTAGCGTAAAATACTATACTAGTTATAGTTCACAGCAGGGTCAACAACATTTTAGCGTAAAATAATCACTAGTTATAGTTCATAGCAGAGTCAACAACCTTGTAGTGTAAACTAATCACTAGTTGTAGTTCACAGCAGAGTCAACAACCTTTTTGTATAAACTAATCATAAGTTATAGTTCATAGCAGAGTCAACCACCTTGTAGCGTAAAATACTATACTAGTTATAGTTCACAGCAGGGTCAACAACATTTTAGCCTGAAATAATCACTAGTTATAGTTTATAGCAGAGTCAACAACCTTGTAGCGTAAATAGTAACTAGTTTTAGTTCACAGCAGAGTCAACCATCTTGTTGCGTAAAATAATGACTAGTTATAGTTCACAGCAAAGTGAACCAATTTGTGGCGTAAAATAATTCCAATAAAACGATTGAAAGAAGCGGATCTTTAAGGAAATCGCAAGCTGTCTTCCTATTTCTAATCTACTTAAGAAGGCGATAGTCAATAACACCATTGACCCCAACTGGCCATGACAGGTTATTAATTTGATTAACTATAACATCAGAAACTGCTGCCCACAACAAAGGCTGCTTAATACAGCCTTTCTTAGTATGGTAATGGTCATGTTCCTGTATTATCGTCCAGATTCCCTTTTAATTCCGAACAATAGCACTGTTTCTAGGATCTTCAAGGGCGATTCTCACCAAGGATGTTAAGTCACTATAGTTTTAAAGTGTTGAATTGTTTTCTTCTAAATGGATATATAATTAAATATTTATGCTTCTACAATAAATGTTTTCGCATCTTTTTTTCCGTTTTTACTACGATCGTCGTCAGTCTTTAGAATGTGTAGTGTGCAAAACGGTTAGTGTGGCGGTATACAATGTGATCAATACCTGTCTGTATTATTTAGGAGATAACCTTACTGTATTTTGATCTTTACGGTGGTATATCGGGATTATACTTTCAAATTTTACTGGCGACGCGGAGTATCACCACTTTAATTCGTCTCAGCCAAAAGCATTAAAAGAAACGCTGATTTTAAGATTCTGTCGTTGATTTTTTACGACAGAAATTTTCTAAGTGAGTCGTATTTACGTTGACGTTTCGGGGTCACGTTATTGTTTGTGACGTCATGAAAATGATTGTTCATGTTAGGGTCATTCGTGGTCAGTGACGTCATTTACAATCGCAATCTGGGCTTCATATGCAAATGAGAAATTCGTGGACGGTTTACCGTGGATACACTGTCGCAAATTATTTTGATCGACCAATCAGATTCCGTGTTTCATCTCAAATGGATTAAAATGTATAATATTCTATATTGATTCTGAGAGAGTGTCACAGTCTTATTCGTTACAGATTAATAACTTTTACATTGCAATTTTTGTGTGTTATTTTAGTTCTGTTTTTCTCTTTCTATCTTCCTTTTTATCTGATCGTTGGTTAACACCTTATAGTTTTGTTCTTTTCAAATTTCAGGACTAGACTACTGAAAAGTGTTAATAAACGATTTCAAACGGACGGGCTGATAAATGTGCCTTACCGACTTGTATTCTATCGAGACCAGACTCTCTTTATACACATGATGCTTGATATCGGTCGTCCGAGTTAACGCATCGCTACGTGGTCTCCAGTACACTTCATTGCTCCATGTCATACTTCAGGAAAGATTGCCTCGCAATAGATGTAACTGAGATTGTCTGACTTACGGATGGTTTTACATATTCACTTATATAAAAGTCTCTTTCGGATGCCCTACGTTCAAACATCAAAATGAATAAGTATGATCCTAACCTAATAAGAGGAGCAACACTTGTAACGTGGCCAATTACGAGTAAGTATTGATATATTCCTGCAAAATACAAAGCGTTAATATGTGTAGTAATTTTTTATTGATACATTCTCTTATATACATGGTATTTTGTGTAGTAAGTTTGAATTGTAAAACGTGTAGTAAATTTAAATCAATATAATTCGACCATACACACGGTTAAACGTATGGTACGATTGTAATGATACTTTCAAGCTACACACAAGATAAAACGTGTACTATGATTGTGTTGTACTCACCAGCTACACTTGTTAAACATGGTGAACGATTGTATGGATACTGCCCAGATACTCACGGTTAAACGTGTGGTACGACTGTATTAATACTTTCCAGCAACACACACGGTAAAACACGTGGTACGATTGTATCGATACTTTCCAGCTACACACACTGTAAACCCTTGGTACGATTGAATTAATACTTTCCAGCAAACACACACGGTAAAACATGTGGTACGACTGTAGTGATACTTTCTAGCTACACACAAGGTAAAACATGTGGTACGATTGTATTGATACTTTCCAGATAGCTGGAAAGTACCAATACAATCGTACCAAACGTTTAACCGTGTATATCTGGAATGTATCAATACAATCCTACTACATTTTTTCCTTGTGTGTATCTGGAAAGTATCAAACCAATTGTAGCAAACGTTTAACCGTGTGCAGCTGGAAAGTATCAATACAATCGTACCACCTGTTCTGTTATGTAACGAATGTGTTTTGTAACGACCGTTTCAAATATTTCAGGTACAAAAGCAGCGGAAGTGCGGATCAATGTCACAAGATCTTGCAGAGGAATGTTGTGGATGCATGACCCTTATTAGCAACATAATAACGAGATATTGCTAGGATCAACTTGTTTTCCGTGAGGCTGTGGTAATATTTTGCAAAAGAATTCATCTCAAATTAATTCAATTGTAATATAATGTATCTTGTTTGTAGAATAACTATGATACCATACAAAACACTAACAATTTTGAATTCTTTAAAGCGAGGCCAATACCAAGTTAGCGAGGTGGACATTGTGAAATACTTAACATCTTTAAAATAGTCGACATGAACGTTTTAAATATGAAACTGTCTTCAGCATAGTATGTATTGGCTGCTTGTGCAAAAACTTTATCTTCAAAATCGACAAGGTCATTTAGAATACATTCGACCATAAGGTAAAGTGAACTGGAATAAACCAGAATTAAAAAGCTAGAAGAATATGCAAAGACTGATATATGAACATTGTCTGGACCGCAACAATTCGTTGATAACAGATAAATTTTAATGGTTTACAAATATATAAACAAAAGCTATCATTACAAAGTTTCAAAAAGATGAAATTACATAGGATATACCTTACAATTACAAAACACTGTATGTGGGAAATTAAACGCAGTTTAACCTTAGCTTTTCTGGGCCCCCTAAATGGGAGAAAATATATCATTGCGAAAAGACTTAATACACAGCATTCCATATGCATCAATGATGTGTGAAGTCAGAAAACAACACTGAAATTATATGCATTGTACCGAGGAAGAGCGAATCTAGACCGGGAGAAAATTGCCATGCGTACAGTGCATATTCAGCAAATTTTAATACTAACTGGTTGTAAAAAAGTTATTGATCATAACAAAGTATAAATAATTGTTGGCATTCAAGATAGTAGATGTAATGTCCATTTTAATCATGGTTATATAATCTGTATTTTAGTATGTACCCAACCGGAACACTGGAAGTAACCCTTCCATTATAAAGTAAGTAATGGTAACAACTAGCATGGTCAGAGTTGTTTGTTCGTCAGCTATAACAATGTATTGGCTCATATCGGCCATCATCAGGGTTTTTACCACAGTATTTATAAACATTGCCTATTTAACGGTACTAATAATCATTGACAATGACAAACATATTAATACACATTAATGACAGTAGGTGATAATACATATTGGTTGTAAAACAATCTTTAATACGAATTGCTTATAAAATGTTATTTAACCATTTGACTTCCACAAAGTTATAACACCCACGAACTATAACAAAGTGTCAATACAAATATACTGTACATATTTCCAAATAATCTGTTCTAATCATGTAATATTTCACGATAACGATAAATCAGGAGTGTGCATGCGTTGATTTTCAAAATCTACACACGTGCCATGCTCTTTGGTATAGCAAATGTAAGCAAGCGAGGGGTGGGACTAGTGTGCAAAGACAAGGGAACATGCATTTTTCTCTTACCCTGGACAGGTGTATCCACACTTTTACCGGTGTGAGGTATCCATGTATCACCCTTGGGTGAACAGGGTCTGAGAAGAAGAATAATTCACTCCTTGGGGGTGAAAAAGCCTCGTGTTTGGCAACTTAAGAATTTTCCCCCTCGGGTTGAGATGCTCCTTTCTCACCCCCAAGGGTGTGAAAGATTCTATAAATCTTTGGATAATTTGCCAACGTTTACACAAAAAAGTGTAGTTTTAACCTTTACATCTACTGTCCAGCTCATTATCAGAATGTTCAGCTCAACTTACAGTCCTACAGGTGCTAATATAATGTGTTAACCAGCTATGATCTTAAATTAATCATTTTGATTGATTGAAATAAACATCCTATATAGTCCATGATCGTGGACTTATTTCTGATAATAGTATAAGACAGATACTTTTTAATTTGTTTCCTCCACTGAACGCAGCCGGTTTAACGTTGAAAATGGATCCCCATTGAAAATGGAACCGGGGTCAGTATTCAACGTTGAAAATGAAACCGGGGGCAGTTGAAAACTGACTCTCCGGTTGAAAATTGACCCCATAAAAGGTCAATTTCCCACGTGTAGGCCGTTGAAAATTGCCCCCGTTGAAAACGGACCCTTTCCTTGTCCGTAGTACCAATGCGATCTTAAGTTAAACCTTGCGTCCATTGTCTGACCAAATCAGGTCAGTACTTGTGACCTACTTCTCAATGTTTGAAATAGACTAACAGAAATTGTAATGGGATTCAGAAATATGCACACAATTACATATGTATGTTAACCTTAGTTAGGGAAATTTGACCTACTTTCGAAAATGTAACCTATATAACTGAAAAAATTGCCATTAGGTTCAGAAATGAACTTAGAACTGTTGTTTCACCTAATTAGATCACTGTGGCCTACTTTTGAAAAAAAGACCTAGATTACTTAAATATGTCATTGTGTTCTGAAATGAACTTAGAACTTTGGTTTCACCTAATTAGGTCACTGTGACTTACTTTTGATTTTTTTTTACCTAGATTAATAAAACTGACTTAAATTTAGTATGTTGCCGATGGTAGAAAGATATCTTAACCTGATTGTACTCTTTACCTCAGTGCTCACCTTCATATAACACGATAAATATGCATCCATACGCATCGTTTGATAATCTAAGTATGTATGGGTTGATTAACACATTCTTTTTAATCTTTGTGGGATTATAATAATAAACCAGATATGATATGCGGCATATGATGAAGACGAGATTATTTAGCTTACTGTGATTTGATTGGTCAATTCAAATCTTTAGTTTCCGCAAGATAACTTGCTTAAATATCGTTCGATTCTGAAGAAACCTTGTATACATGTACATTATACACAGGCCGAGGCTAACTTCCAATTTGAGCAAAATCCGCGCATACGTAAATACATGTAGAATACTGTGCTCTGATAGGTTGACGGTTGATAACTTTATCAAATATGACCGGATTCAATATTTTAATTGTAAAATGATTAATAATAAGCTTTAGGTGAGCGAAACCTGCACATCATTCATTACATGTAGCATACTGTTTTCTGATTGGTCGACGGTCCACGAACTACTGTCAAATATGACATGATTCTTATATGAGACTTGGTCAAGAAACCTGTCAGTAATTATTAAGCAATAGAAATATATTGGGTTTTAATGGTGTAAAAGTAACAGATTTTTGGCAATAAGTGTCAGTTTCAATTTCTATCTTTATATTTCGAATTATGTACAATGGGAGGCAATTGCAACTCATTTTGTGCAAAGGTCATAATATGAAATATTTTGTTTTTAAAGATGGAAGATATTTAAGAATTTTGGGATTAGTCATTCACCTGTATTTACTTAACCTCATTACCGTTTTTGAATGGTCCGTAAGGGAACTTGAATGTACTTCGTCTTTTGTTTGTGTCCATACATTGTTCGAAGAATCCCCGGCTTAATACTCAAATTTCACCGTTGAATATTGACACAGGGCCATTTTTCACAATTGATTATTGAAGGGTATTATGATGTTCTTGTGTCAATTTGCAACGTTGAATATGGACCTGAGACCATTTTCTACTGTCGAATCTATAGAGACGACAAAATGTTCTAGGGTCCATATTCAACATTGAATATTGATCCGGAACCAGTTTTGACGATTGAATATACAAAGGCGACAAAAGGTACCTGGGATCTAAATGTTGAATGGGAACCCGTGGTCACCTTTTGACAATGAAATATGGAATGGCTTTCAGACGCGTAGCTGCCAATATGCTGGACGCAGGCGAAAACACTAAATTTCTAATAGAAATAACCCCAAAAACAATGCTTGTTGCACCACCTTGTCCCCTTACAAAGTATCCGCCCTGTATATGCTCCTACATGAATCCACTCCAATCACGGGTTACATCTACGCCACTGGTTTAACAATGCTCTGTAAAGATGATATAAATATGGGACCATACATGTAGTTAATCCATTAAATGCATGTTTCATTTGGGGACTGACCAAGATGTCGACAAGATTATCAATCTACCAGTTCAGAGAAAAGAAGAGAAATGATGGGAAAACATCGAGCTTACATAAGATCAAACGATGGTTGGGGCAAATACCCCAATTTGGTCTCTTGTTTGACATTTAAATATGAAAAAGTGACATAAAGTGCGAAGGTTTATTTTCAAGGACCGAGCATCGACCATTTTCGACAATTGAGCCTTTAACGCATGCTATATTAATACATTAGATATGTATCACTGCCCTTAACTCATGTTGTAGTACTACATTAGATATGTATCACAGCCCTTAACTCATGTTGTAGTACTACATTAGATATGTATCACAGCCATTAACTCATGCTGTAGTACTACATAAGATATGTATCATAGCCATTAACTCATGCTATAATACTACATTAGCTATGTATCACAGCCCTTAACTCATGTTGTAGTACTACATTAGATATGTATCACAGCCCTTAACTCATGTTGTAGTACTACATTAGATATGTATCACAGCCCTTAACTCATGCTGTAGTACTACATTAGATATGTATCACAGCCATTAACTCATGCTGTAGTACTACATTCGATAGTACCACAGCCATTAACTCATGCTATAGTACTACATTAGATATGTATCATAGCCATTAAATCATGCTATAGTACAACATTATATATGTATCACAGCCCTTAACTCATGCTCTTAACCCTTGCTAGCATTATTATTCAAATTGATATCATTTTCCCGAAACCATCCCCTCTTAAACCTCTTAACAATACCATATAATGTGTAAAACATTGTCATTAATCCTTCTCACCATTGCCATATTATTTGTATCACTGCCCTTTCACATCGCCGCATTTCTCGTCACTTTTAGTCCAGCAGATGACCTGAGGTTTACAGGTTCATAACTGCCCCAACATTGCCCCGGAGTTTTTACATTAGAAGTGTAAAACTGCCAAAATCTCCTCTCATCTATTTTAAGTCATGTGTGTATCACTACCAAAACCCCTCTCATCAATTTTTCGTAAGGTGTGTATCACTTCCAAAACTCTTCTGATCAATTTTCCGAAATTGTTGGTCCTTTGCCTTTTGACCAATAGGTATGCTTTTATATCCAAACTTTCTGTTCTGTCTTTCTATGCTTTTCTTGGGAGATTCAAATTTCATATTATTTAGTCTCACCTATGATGTACCATGAGTCATAAATGTGTGCTTTCGGCAAACTGTCAAGGCCTCGGTGATAGAACTAAAAGAAAAGATGTGTTATCTTATCTAAACGATAAAAAATATCACATATGCTGTTTACAGGAGACTCACTTCACACCACAACGGGAAAACATAATTAGAAATGAGTGGGGTTTTAATTGCTACTTTAGTTCTTTTACATCTAATTCGCGGGGTACTGCAATTTTCTTAAATAACAATTTTGAAAGTAAGATCCATAAAGAAAAGAGGGATTTAAATAGAAATGTTCTTGCTATTGACGTTGAAATTGAGGGTCATCGAACAACACTTATTACTCTTTATGATCCAAACCGAGATAGCCCAGACTTTTTTAACTTAATTCCAGACACAGTGGAAATTTTTGGGAATAATAATGTTATTATATGTGGGGATTTTAACCTTGTAATGAGCCCGGATAAAGATTATGATAACTTCCAGAACATCAATAATAGCGCAGCTAGAGAGCAATTTTAGAGCTAATAGAAAATGTGGGACTTATTGATATTTACTGAGATCATCACCCAAACAGTAAGAGATTTACTTGGCGGAGAAAGAACCCCAAAAAACAAGCCAGATTAGAATTTTTCCTTATTTCAGAAAACTTTTACTATTAATAAAGCTAGTATTGAACCTGGTTACAGAACTGATCATTCGGCCCCTACCATAACTATAAAATTTAATGATTTAAAAAAAGGTAAAGGTCTTTGGAAATTTGATAATTCTCTATTGCATGAACAAGACTATTTGGAATTAGTTAAAAATATAATTGAAAGTGTTAAAATGCAATATTGCCTT